TATGAATTAATTGCTTGTCACGTTCAATATACATTCAGTAGCGGCGTAAGGGGGGGGGCGGTGGGGGCGGTCCGCCCCGGGTGCCAAGCATCAGGGGGTGACACAAGTCGCGCAGATTAGTACTCACTGGCACATCTGCATGGCAAATCTGATACGGGGGGGTGGCGGGTGCGGTTGTCTTTCAATCTTCGAATCGGTAGGTANCGAAGCTCTGAACTCGTACTTTGTTGATTTGTGCTAAATATACAACAATCATGTTAATTAATACTTATGAAATAGTAAGTTGAATAATGTACCTTTTATTATATACCATGGACATTAGCAAAAACAAAAGAAAACTGTGTGTAAAATGGGATTGAAAAAAACTGGTCCAAATTAGCGGACTCTCCCTTATGTGCTGGTACATGACAGTGTCACGTGGTGTCACTATATTTTTCAGAAGCCACGATAGCCGAACGGTGAAGGGATCGGACTGGCCGACTCATGATCCGGGGAACGCGGGTTCGATCCCCGCCGCCGCTCGACTATTGTGGTGAGCTCACTCGTGATACAAACATACCTATTTAGCTTAGTACGAGGGGCTAACGGGACTATTAGTAATTTGTGTAATAACAAATCACTAATAAATCTTTATGAAAGAAATACAAAAATACTTTGCACATGTTGATATTTCATTGACAACAAATCGCGCTAAAAAAGCTCCGCGCCCCGCTCCGCCTGTGCGCGCGCGAGGCCTTATCCGCCACAATCAGGATGTTGTCACTGCGACGCCCTGGGCTTGGGCGGGCGGATTACTTGGCTTCGTGCTCGAGCGAAAATTATTTTACCAATTATTTCATCGGTAGGACATGGTTAATTTAACCTAAAGCCTGGTCCGTGAGCACGTAGAATCCCGTCCAATGTCCCCAAGCTACCCACCCATCCTAATCGCTCGCGCGTAATTATATTGCTGTCGCGACTGTGCGACGCGCGCCCGCAGTGAGTGTGCGAGCGCGATAGCAACATAATTACGTGCGAGCGACAAGGATGAACAGCTTGGGGTCATTGGACGGGATTCTACGTGCTCACGGACCAGGCTTTACCTACGAATATAACACCATCTTACCTAAGTCTGTCGCTGTTATGGAACAACAATGTTAACAGCATTGTTGTGTTCCGGCAATTGGAGGTAAGATAGCCAGTTCCTCCGTGGTTGAGGATTCCGGGTGAAGCTTGCTTCCACCTTCGGCTTGATCGTCACTTACCATCAGGTCATCAGGTGAGATACAGGCCAAGAGATTCCGCGTTGTAGATAAAAAAGTGTCGTTTAAATAAATCTGTTTAAAATTACTACTTTCACTACAAGCAACACTTTTCTATTTCAACCTGGAGATACCTAGTTACAGCGCCATATTTAATTTGCCTACGTAAATAATAAAATTTAACTTCAGATAACGTTTTGAAACGTCATAAATGGTAACCCACATAAAGGTTAATTATTGCCATAACCGACATTTATAACGTGAAGTGTAAAGTTTTTACGAGAGAGACTGCGACAAAAAATTATATGAACATAAACAAAACATTTTACACCCTTCGTAGCTAATTTCTTGTAACGAAACGAAACGCAAGCATTCTCCTTCCGTTTCATAGAAGCCTTAAAATGTCGCAAACACAAAGGTTAACACAGAAATTAAAGCCGCAAAAGGCCACCTCTGCTGAAGAAAGCTTGCCTAGGTAGGTATAACCGGTCGTTGAAAAATAAGATATAAATATATCTACCTTTAGGAAAACCGAATTACTTACATTAAAGTTCCAGTCCGATCGGAGGTTGACACGATCATCTGAAAATAGAGAAAAATAATATTTTATCAAACATTATAAAAAAAACTAGCGGCCGCCCGCGACTTCGTATGAGTGGATGCCGTTTTAACCCCTTAGGGGTGGAGTTTCGTAAAATCCTTTCTTAGCGGATGCCTACGTCATAACATCTACCTGCATGCCAAATTTCAGCCCAATCCGTCCAGGGGTTTGGGCTGTACGTTGATAGATCACTATGTCAGTCAGTCACCTTTGAGTTGTACCTATATATTTAGATATTGATACTTTAAGTAGATAACTATAACAGTAGTCCTATTTATTAACTACCGGTAATTTACCCTAAATATTTGTTACAGTTTCGATATGAAAACTAGTATTTATCACAGCTCTACACAATTAAATATTCAAGCGCTTAATTGTACCTTTCAGCGTGTTTATTGTACGGGTATAGATTATGTCACAGATTAGTTCATATTTATAACATTCACCTAAAGCCTTGCCTAAAGCACATTTAATTTTTCTTTAAATAAAGCTTTTGTGAGAACTCGGTGACGGTCACCGGCTAAGGTCAAAATCGAGATTTTCCCAAACTAGGCAAAACCTGAAAGTAGACTAGAAACAAGTTAATAAAGGAAGCAAACTGAAATAATACATTATAACACAGGTACAAATTATGCGTGCTCATCATACTAACATTAGTATCTTTCAGGATTCAAACCGCAAACTGTATTTGCAGGCCATCAATTTGCTGCCGTTGTTACAATAGGATGGCTTCAGAACATTGTTTGCAAATTACTATCTAGGAACTAACTAGATAACAATTACATAAAGTTTGTCCATAACTTAAAGCTGTATAAACTTGGAGCTTTGCGCGTGAAGCAGAATATTTAAGTATCCTTAACGCATTTGAAGTCCAATTAGAATCTACAAATCTACTTCTAAAGCAAACGCCCACGACTTCTGCAATTGCATACTAATCATTTGATCATCATCATCATTTCAGCCACAGGACGTCCACTCACCACTGCTGAACATAGGCCTCCCCCAATGACTTCCACATCGCACGGTTGGTAGCGGCTTGCATCCAGCGCCTTCCTGCTACCTCTATCAGGTTGTCGGTCCACCTTATGGGTGGACGTGCGTTTTCCAGTCCGCTCCAGTTTTCAGTAAATAAATGTCGACTTTTTGACACTGAGTTTGCATCTCGGTGATAATTCTTCTTAAAGGAAAAGGAAGTAGCAAAAGTTTTGATTTTCGCGCTAGTTCTATACTATTCGTTCGCGCAAGTTTGCCGGTCCGTGGAATGCGCGTCCCCTCCTCCAACCACGATTAAACGCATTCGTTAGTGATTAAACGCAATTAATGTGTCTTATTTTACGCAAATACACAAATTTTATCGATAATAATAAATGAAAAATATTTTAAATGTAGTTTGTTAGAGTTATAGACGCTTCCCTTCGAGTGACGTCATATCGCCAGCGGCAAACTTAAAGCGAACGGATAGTACGAAAGTTCGTATGCATGGGGCCTAAGCTCTACATTTAGCTAAGGCCTACATAACACTAAGCTTCCGGACTCCACTAATGCCAATTAAATCCCATTGCGTATAAATCAGTTATGCGGCTGAAGTACTTACTTAGTAGCTCAGGAGATAAGGTAGGCTTTAGCAAGCATTAATTACTTTATCAATTTGTATAGGCACATGCAAGATAGTCAAAGTCGTTTTATCCCAAGGGATATCTTATAGTTATTATGTTAACCCTTCATTTGGCAGTGATGCTTATAAGCAACAACCACTTTGAATATTTCTACAGCACCAAATAATAAGTTTTGTGCAAATCATTCGATTTTGTTACGAAGCTTAGTTCAGCAAAACACTAGTAAATCGGTCGTCGACTGAGTTTTGAGTGATTTCATATTCATATTTCTGTCAGACGCCAAGATGACGCGCAATGAGAATAACAAAGACGGAAGTTTTATGATTTTATACTATATTATCATCTGTAATTGTTTTTGTATTGTCTAAATTTTATTCATAATAAATCAAACTAATCATATAAAGCAATATTTGGCGTAGAAACTGTGTTTTCCAATATGTGACATGCTTCCGAACCTCGATGTTGCCTAGAAGCATCAGTGCCAAACATCTAACAAAATAGGTTAATCTTTTTGTTAATACAAAAGAGTGCCAATACCCAATAAATCAATCATGTATTACATGAATAATGTTATAGAGATGGTATACAATTACTTTTGATGCAATTATGGACCCTGTCGGGCACAGCATTTTAGGAGATAACCCTTCATTTGGCAGTGATGCTTTTAAGCAACAACCACTTTGAATATTTCTACAGCACCAAATAATAAGTTTTGTGCAAATCATTCGATTTTGTTACGAAGCTTAGTTCAGCAAAACACTAGTAAATCGGTTGTCGACTGAGTTTTGAGTGATTTCAAATTCATATTTCTGTCAGACGCCAAGATGACGCGCAATGAGAATAACAAAGACGGAAGTTTTATGATTTTATACTATTTTATCATCTCTAATTGTTTTTGTTTTGTCTAAATTTTATTCATAATAAATCAAACTAATCATATAAAGCAATATTTGGCGTAGAAACTGTGTTTTCTATTAAATGACATGCTTCCGAACCTCGATGTTGCCTAGAAGCATCAGTGCCAAACATCTAACAAAATAGGTTTATCTTTTTGTTAATACAAAAGAGTGTCAATACCCAATAAATCAATCATGTATTACATGAATAATGTTATATAGAGATGGTATACAATTACTTTTGATGCAATTATGGACCCTGTCGGGCACAGCATTTTAGGAGAGAGGAAGAATTTGCTGTCTGTCTCTGTGTTGTCTGTCTTCAAGCTTACACCGCTGAACTGATTTAAATGATATACCAGTTTCAGAAGCTAAAGAGAAAATAAAAAGCCAACCTTGGCTCGGCATATTTATCGTGAAGTATGATGACATGCGTCATCTATCAAATGTTGGAGAAAAAGGTCGTTGTCGACTTTGCGAAAATGGTCAAAAAATAGTTTAATGCATAAAATGTGAAATACGATTGATTTTTTAATGATTTTCATATAAAAAAAAAAATCTATAATATATCTCAATGTTATATTTAAGTACCCCTATTTGGCAATGTGGTAAATAAGCAACAATCGTTTTTCGCGAAAATACCAACCAAATATTTTTTTTATTATTTTTCTTAACTTTATTTGATAGTAACAATTAGGTCTAAATAGATTGTATTGAAAAAATCAAACAATTTGTGTCTTGCCAAATGAAGGGCTAATCCATATCTGTGCCCAAAACACAAAATAAATAGGACTCAAAATCATGGACCTATAAAAAAAGGCGGACGGAACTCGCGCTAACTGTGACGCAAAATTTTGGCGTTTGTCTATTGTGTGATTTTTTTTTTTTTTTTTTTAAATNCACTTTATTTGATAGTAACAATTAGGTCTAAATAGATTTTATTGAAAAAATCAAACAATTTGTGTCTTGCCAAATGAAGGGTTAAGAGAACAATTTAGTAATCTTACTGGACTAACTCTGGGTTGCACTATCCGACTTTTCGTCAAAATTCTGTCAAGCTCCATACAAAAACACCTGTGAGGGCTGAGTGCGAGTTAAAAAATGTATGAAAATGCTAGTTTTTGAACGTTTCCCGCTAGGGGCGCTGTGCAATCCGTCATAGTCATTAAATGTGAGCGCGGTTTGATGAAAACTCACACTCAGTCCTCTGTCATAGTAACATGAAGGTGGTACAACTGAGGCTTGTCGATACAGCTACCTATAGCATTTTCTGCATTGTCAATATTATAATTATGCAAATCATTAATTATCATGCGTAATACAGTAATAGTAATGTCAAAACATTGATACGGTGTTCCAGGATAATTTTAGACTTAACCACGAAAGTGACTTCCCTGGAAGCGTGAAACATACCGCTTATGACGAAAACAAATATACCAGAGTACATTATTTATGAACAAAGTTGTCCAGACAAATCTACCGCCAGTCGAGTGGTTAGTTCCAAAATTTTTAAGTCGGCGATTTATGCAGGGTTTATTTTAACTGCTTTGAATTATGAACGTGGAGAAAAGACATGATTTTTGTAAGTTTCTTTCTTTTGTTCCATACCTATTTTATGTTCAAAGGGTCTAGTTAGTTTGTTAGAAGGTTGGAAGGTACATAAACCACTTAGTACTTAATAAATAAGAGGCCTAAAGTTACACAATATTAATTAATTGCTTGTCACGTTCAATATACAAATTCAAATTGTGTTTATTGTGAAATCACAGGTACATAAGTCAGGTCATTAAAGGACATTGGGAACTTTAATATGAGAAAATTCCCCACGGCGGACAAAAATGAAACGTATTTTATTTCAAAGCTTTATACTTGTAGGTATATTCACTTAAAGCGCTATGTTGTGAGATATGGGAATTCTGAGATATGACGAGTCTAAGTTGAAAATATATTTGTCTAAAATGATTTGATATTTTTACTTTTTTACATTATGTTGTTTGGCATTGCAGAGTAACCAATAAAAGTAAATAAAATAATATAAATAAACAAAAAATATAAATAAAATAATATAAATAAATAAAATATTATAAATACTTAAATTAATACTAGACAACATCTCATATATTACTCCAACCCAAAATAAGTAGCTAAGGCATTTGTGTTATGGAAATCGGGAACGACGAACCACAACACACCCAAACCAGAGACAATGTGAAAAGATCGTTTTCTATATTGTCCCGACCGGGAATCGAACCCGGGACCTCAGGATTGGCCCGGCACACCTTGAAAACCGGTGTGTGCACCTCTCCGCCACGGAGGTCGTCAAAAATGTTACCTAAATGTAAAATAAAATAAAATATTAAAACTTCATTTTCTCAATATTCCCATATAAGAGAGAGAAAAAAAATGCACGGAAATTCATTGGATATTAGTATGTATCATCTGTGATAGGTTTCGTTTGTGTCCGCTACTTTTCGAAAAGTGGGGCAAAAAGTTCCCAATGTCATTTGTATGATAGATCAGCTGTGTTCCGCCGCATGGGCATACAATAATGGTACGATACAATTGATAGCTAGTAAAAATCTATGACACAATAAATGATACAATTCAAATACAAGTCAATTATTAATAATTATAAGTTAATTAAGTCATACAGAAAATGTCAGCAGAATACAATATTATGTCAGTCGGAGAGAAAAAAAAAACAATTTCATTAATAAATACTTAGAGGTACTCAAATTGTCACACAAATCATTATAAATTGTCAGAAAGATATTCATTTACAGAGTAGTAACCTTTATTTATTTATACATTTATCGGATCTAACGATGATGATGAGTTCAGGGCCAGGTTGAAGGCAAGAGAGCACGCGGTCGATCGCCAACCCGCTGGATAGACGCCATCACAAAGCCCACTGAGTCCACAATGGTTCAGTGTACTCGCGACGCCTCTAACCGTCAGAAATGGAAGCACATCAGGAAAGCTACCCTTGGAGATGACATCACCCCACCATGTACCTCGTCAGCGCAACCACGACCACTTTGACAAGAGTGCCCGACTAAGAAGAAAATGATGAATAAAAAATCGAATGGAAAGAAACGAAATAATATTGTGCCTGTTTATAAGACTCAATTCGCTTACGTCGCGGTCGCGGGTCCAACGCCGCTTTGTATGGAAACTGCGAATTGCTATCGTTTGGGCTCAATGGCTCGATATCAAAATACGTAACACCCAAGTGCTTTTGTTTCGCGCAGCCAATGTCTGGAAGATTATCGTTATGGTTATACAGGGTGTCCCAGAATGGGTGAATCAAACTGCTAGGGGAGGTAGCTCTACTAATGTACTATCCCAAAAAAATATGAAAAAAATTTTTGAGTTCGGATTTTTTTTTAATAAAGTGCTCTAAGCTCGAAATCTAGTCATTATTTTCAAAAGTATGTTTACAGATAAACGAAGCGAACATGTACAATTAATATTAGTAAGAAAAAAGTACAAATAAAATCCAAACGCAGCAATTATAGCCAGATACTTAGGCAAATCTGATTTATTTTTTACTTATTAAAAAAAAAATTGTTTCCTTATGCGCTTTATTTTTTTTTTTCATATTTTTAGGGTAATGTACTATATTGTACTATATTAGTAGAACTACCTCCCCTAGCAGTTTGATTCACCCATTCTGGGACACCCTGTATGGTGCCGTGATAATAAACGTGATTTTTCACAGTTTAAAGCCTTCATTATCGGAATACCAGGCAGCTACTACTCAATAGGTGTACGAGTATAATGTTGACCCTTATTCGATTAAAGAGATTAAGATACTGAGTCACATTACGTGCCTAGGATGGCACAAAAGGCCAAGCTAGAAGATGGACTAAAACCGTAGAAGATTTTTACATGGGGTTGTAGAGTGCGAAAGATTACTTGCAAGATCATCAACAGATATCATTTTAATTTTATAATAAGCAGGAATCAACCAGTTCGCTGAGGTTATTAACACTTACTTATGGTCAAGTAAAACTTTCATTAAGGCTGGGTTGCACCATCTTACTTTAACTTTAACAAGCGTCAAAAATCTGTCAAATTCCATACAAAAAACACCGGTTATCGTCATAGTTACCGTTAAAGTTAGGTGGTGCAACTCAGCCTAAACGTTTTGCAATTAAAATTGTTTAGAGAATTAATTCATTTAATATCCGTAATCCTTCTTTCAGAATCCTTTTTGATTTAATTATACTTTATAATACACACACTCTGATAGGATAATTAGAATCAAGCCACGTGATTGGATAATCATGATTATAATCAGCTGTAAATTGCTTTGAAGCCGCGGCAGCGAGCAAATATTCATTAAACGGTAACGCGAGCGGAGAGTTATGGAGAGTCGGGTTCGCTACCAAAATATTACGTTGACGCTGTAAAGTATCGCTTTTGTTTCAGTAGCAGCTTATTTAAAGGAGAAATCGTGACAGCATTGTTTGGATAGAAAAAATATTTCAGTCATTTCAGTCAATGGGCAAAGAGCGAACGGACTTCTCTACAAAAAATATTTGACTCATAAAATATTCAAATTCAAATTCAAAACGTTTATTTGCCAAAAACACAGTAATACAGGGTGACAATATAATGTAATATTCAGGGAATGTACCGTGTATCGTGAGTAGAGTCTTAGTTTAAAAGGATGCCAACGATTTAACCCTGTATAACATGGCATCTAGCTCAAACGAGTTTTAAAAATGTTGACCACGAGGGACGCTACACAAAGAATTATTATAATCTGTAGAATCTAATGTAACTGTTAACTACATATTTTATTTTACTAACATAAGTTTGAATTCTTACGCCGTCTATGCTGTAATTAATATTACGAACCGATGTAAAATATCTTATTCTCAGAAATAAATTAATTTGATTTGACTTCACTAACTCAATTAACACAAGCCGTCCTAGACGTCATCATTTATCGGCAAGTGCCAAACCAATTATGATCAACTACGTGTTTTGTAATAAATTAAGATTGCTTTTGGCTTCTAACCTTTTACGAGTAACGTAAAGTTACGTAAAAGCGTAAAATGTTATGTTTATTATACGTTGAGCATTTTGGGGAATATTGTATATTTAGATCCCACCAAAAACATTCTGTAAAAAACTAGCCAAGTCTCGATGGAGCTGCTTGTTTATCTCTAAAAAGTAATGAAATCTAGCCAAAGTCGTGCCAAGTCTATGGTTCCTTACTGCGATTTCTTTATTATTATAGTTAATGTTGTGTGACTTGGCCGTTGAACAATCTTTATTAAGATAATCATACATTATAAATACGCAGCTTTACTGAACCTACAACTGGTTATTGTTGAATCAACGTTTTCCAAGTGGCAATTTTCCATCGTCAGTGGGTAGCGGTTCAGGCGACTGATTGGTGCAATGGTGTCATGGAGCACCTGGTTTTGTCACCCTTCAACGGCCAAGTCACACAACATTAACTATAATAATAAAGAAATCGCAGTAAGGAACCATAGACTTGGCACGACTTTGTCTAGATTTCATTACTTTTTAGAGATAAACAAGCAGCTCCATCGAGACTTGGCCCGAGTGTACCATCTGCGCTATAAATTCTTTATAGAAAAACAAAGAAGCGGAGCGTGCCGATGTGCGACACAGCCTCCCCGTGCGAACGCTAGTGAAAGACTGAGCTCCCGCATTCGCGCGGCCCGCGTGTGGAAATTACAGGGTATTTTGAATGTATGACACGTAATACATTATTTTTGAAAAAAATTGAACAACAATTTTTTAGATAATTAAATTTTCTATCATTTGGTGAAAGAATCATTAAAATCGCTTCAGCCGTTTAGGAGGAGTAGGAAATTTCTTTGGTGAAATTAGAAGAAAGTTAAGAATTTTTTCTGTCAAAACTAATAATTGTAACAAAAAAAACGAACAACAATTTTTTAGTTTAAGATATTATACATCTCACACATATTTTT